TAAAAGGTCAAAATTAACTGTTAACAATTTCATTTCGCTCACCTTCAATAAATAATTATTCTTGAGGGTAATTTTTGCTTATTACCAGGAAATTAAAATTTCCTTAGAATTTAATTTCGGAATGCATAATTTGAGTTATGAAGGAAACAGAAAATTTTAAAGCTCAGATCTTTTACAATTTATGAAGCACAATTATCCAGTTTCATAATCTTAGTTTATTTTGCTTACTATAACTATTTCATTCAGTACGAGAGAGTTTTATAGGTTGGTACTAGCGCGTTACAAGTAACGAAACTACTTTAATAACTATTTTTGCCTTAGTTTCTAGTGTAATGGGTTTCTTTTTGAAAAAAAAAGTAGTTTAGTGAGTAATGCGATACAAAAAGGAAAAAAAATCAGTTTGTAGTGATTCGATGCAACAATTTTTACATTACAACATTATCTTAATAATAGAACAAGGTGCGAAATACAACTAATTTTTCGAATCTAATTGGTACAAACCTTACGCGAGTCCATCAGCGGACACAATGAAAATGTTCCCAATGTACTTAATTTCGGTTTTTCTCAGTGAACTTAAACTTTAAACATTCATTAAAATCATAAATGTTTGATAATTGTCTATCATTTCGAGAAATAAATATTCGCTATAAAGAAAGGATTAAAAATGCAGGTTGAACGAAAATATTTTTCTTGCAATACTCTCCATTTTTTTCAGTTTTGAACATGAGAGTAAATTGAATTCCACAACGAAGTGCTCTCCTAAAAGTAGTTAAGTAGTAATATATTTCGAAAAGCAGTTTGCAATCACTATATTAAAAAATAGTTGCAGTAATAATACATTTCTAATAAAGAAGTTGTAGTATTAACTTCTAAAAATATAGATTTTACTGACCACTGGTTGGGCCTCGGACAAATCTAATTATTTACGCCACAGGAAATTTTGCATTCAGTATGAGTAGTTGATACCCGCAACAAAAGGTATTGTCTGCTATGTGGTGACCAATTTAGGTGTTACAAGAATGTGTAGAAGAACATTTTTTAATTTTATATTTACTGAATAGTTTTTCAATCCATTTTATTAGAAAATGAAAAGCGACAATCTTTGCATTTGAAACCATAACTTAGGAAGATACGTAACAAATTATCATTTTTAGATAAAATATCTTTTTTTTTTGAAGAAAACTATTTTTGTTAGGCCTAACAAAATCAAAAAGTGTATGCTTCTTGTACCGAAGACCCATTCCCAGTATGCGCAACAGGTCCAGTGAGCAAAGATCTATTTCTCTGTGGACTATGCCGCTCACAATGAGTAACAGTTTTTATGTTCCTAGAAAAGCTATATATTTTTTTAAATACTTCAATTAATTTTTTTATTTCTTTTTGGTATTGCGTTTACGATTACCTTGATTTTTTCAAGCTTTTGCAAGCTTGCAAGCAAAATTAAAAGTAAGTTTTGATTGTATAAATATCCAGATTCAATCAACTAACAAGCTTAAAAGAAATAATGGAAAATAATTGTTATCCAGGAAGTAACATCCAATATTTCAAGGTACAACCTATGGTAGTCTTAGGTACAACACTAAATTGTATCTTGGACCTACTTTTCTCACTTTGAAAAGATTTACGATATGTATAACAAAATCCATTCATAAAAAAATTACATTAATAGACAAAAGCATTTATACACATTAATAAACAAACGTATTTATACCACATTGATAACCAAAAAATTATAACTGCATTAATAGATAAACGCATTACCATGAAATTTCAAAATCATATTAATTATTTTCTTGGACTAAAATATTAATAGAATAATAATAAGTTAATAGTTAATAAAATTAGTAATTAATAAATTTACTAATTACTCAAATTAATAATAATTTAATAAATTGTATAAAAATAATAAATAATAATGTAATTTTTTAAAATTATGATAATTATAATTATAAATAATAAAATAATATTTAATTAATTAATAATTTAGTATTAGCTAATTAAATAATAACAAAAATTAACTATTATATTTTGTATAAAAAATAATGATTTAAAATTAGTTCAAGATCTTACATTCCTCCCTAATTATTAAAATATTAATTATTTAAATCATTATTTATTATTAAAATAACGACCTATGCTTAATCCGATGGATTATTTATAAACGAATTAAGGAAGTACATTTGCGTCTTAGTTGCAAAGAACGAACTAACTCATTAAAAAAAAGACTGATAAAATTGTAGCATTATTTCCTTAAACTCTTTTCGACAATCATTAATATAAAGCACGAAATAAGTCAAAGAATGTATCATTTGTAAATAAAATCTATAAATCAATTGCCTGACAACACAAATAAAATTGGTCCTATGAAAAGGTAGAAAACCATTTTCAAACAATCAAAGCTAAGCAGTGTACCAGTCTTTGATGAAAAATACTGCAGGCTTGATCCAGATAGATAGCAAGATGGTTGTAACAGGGAAAATTAATTTTAAATGTTCCGCAACAATAAAATTGGATTCCTTAAAAATTTATTGCATCAGAGTGCTTCAAAACCTAACTTGTCCAAAACGCTCGTATATCTCAGTTAAAAGCTAATAAATAAAAAAATTGTTAAATATTGAACCTAAATACTGTTTCCAAAATTTTTTTTAGTCTTATACGAGACACTGCATTAATATTTTTCTTCAATTCATTGATAAATTTTGTATTAAGTCTATAGTAATAGCATTTTATGAAACAGATAAAAAGAAATAAAGTAAACAATATGGCAATTATAAAAAGGTAGTTGATTTTATAATAATATTTAAATTCTTGTTATTATCTATGTCTCAATTTACAATCCCAAAACTATTATTTAAAAATGTATTTACTTCACGCTTTCCTAAAACGATAGGGAATATTAAGATAAATTATGATATCATTTAAAATTTTTTTTGTATTTTAATTTAACTTGATTACTTAAAAAAATATATGCTCTAGTATCACAAGTTAAATTTAAAACTGTTTCCGATGTACACTACACGTGCTTTAATTAGCATTATTTGTAGTATATTCTGCCTAGACAATTCTTGAACACCTATCTGAAATATTTTAACTGTAAAAGAATCCTGGATAATATATTGCTGGAATGAATGATTTTCGGAAAAAGTTAATCGCTCAGAAGAATTTGCATTTTGAAGAGTAGTATCATCGTGTTGGAATATGGAGTCTACATCACTCCAATGCCAGAACATGTTAGAAAACATAGTTCTATTAATTTTTGATATTCTAAAGATACATTGAATTTAAAGATAAACTAATTTTAAATCACGACATTCTTCTCAAAAGAAGCCTAAACTGTCAAAGAACAACCTTCCTGCCAGGATCCGGTGAAAGAAGTCAATAATTTTACAATATATCTCAGTAATGGTAATCAGTACAAAATTAAACAGCTTTACATAAAATATGTTCGAGAATTTATTCAATAGTATTAATTAACACCATCTGTTTTAAAGAAAAGGATAAAAACCAATAGATCAATGGACTGATTTTAATCCAAAATATTAGAATCAACATAAGTTTGAATTTATATATTTAACAATTTTAACTGCATTATATAAATAATTATTTGATCTTTTTTTAAATTTTACGTATGTCATAATTTAACCGAGTAAATTTACTAAGTATCAGAAATAATGAGAATTGTAGCGACCATATTCTCTCGTGTTCAATCCAAAATAAAATTTTTTTAAATAAAAGCAAAATATGTAGCAAAATATACAAAACAAGCAAAACATTTTGTTGATTGAAAATTTACTTACACAAAAAGCCTTGCACAAATAAATCTAAACTAATTATGCTTGTTTTTAAAACAAATTAAATTGGAATAAGTTATTAAAATTGGAAGAAATGGAGGTATTATACAAAATTATTAAATATTCATGACAAATTATTTATTGTTGAAACACTATGCAGTGATCATTCAATTAATAATTAATAAAATAAATTTATCTATTCTTATTCGGCAACAGGTATACAAATCAAAAATAAGTTGATGATGTTTTCATAAATTTAATTATCCGCAATGACTTTTCGATAAATTCATCACACTGTTATTATACGTTATTATCTAAATCTGTTGAATTTAAATTTTAATAATGAAAATAATAGTATAAAAATGGTGTTTTATTTCAATCCAGTTTTTTAGACTTTAAAACAATATACCATAACAATATTATGCAAAAGTTATATGTAGATAATACTAAATTAAATTGTATTGAAAATCTTAAAAACGAAAAACCAAATTGAAAAAGTAAAGATACAAACTGTACTGAATATAGTATTTTCAACTGCAATTTTTATGCCTATATTATTTTTTATAGTCTTTTAAACGAGTTTTTTCAATTTTATGCATTTATTTACATTTTCCGTAATTTTATACATATTGTATTTTAGTAATAAAATTTTAATGATTTTTAATTTATTTTAAAAATTTTTCTTCAATCAAAATAAGACATAAATTTTTAAGTTTTTTTTATTTGATTCATAAATATGACAAAAAAATCTAAAGGTCCTTTCGGCTATTTATTGCTTAAAAATTTGATGTATTCATAGTTTTGATTTAAATGGAAATATAAATATCTCTACTACAATGTAAAAGTTGATAAAAATTATCACTGCTTCGAAAACCGACATAAATATATCATATATTTCTTAAGCATCAAAAGCCTACCTGTTGATGCTAGAATATAACATAAGAGAAATTAATAGATAACATTCAGAAACAAAGTAAGCAAAAGAAAAAAAATGAGAGACTCGCCTTATCCTTTCCTGATAACTTACTTACCTATCAACATTTCAACGTGTGGCAAAATTCCCGATCAACATCGAATAAGACTGTAAAAAAATGAAACATTTCTTACCTTCAGATTATCGGATAAGGCGAGTCACGGATTTATCCTAAAAACAGAAACAAAAAATGAGATAAAAAGTTACGTAATAAATGGCATTCTGTTGTGTTGCAGACCTGGACAACATCGTGTGCTGGTGTCATCGAGAAGCTGGTTGCATGCAGCAATGATGTGTGAGCGAAGTGTGGGGCCCTGCAGCTCTGCCGTCTTCTCTGTTGTGCTTCTCATGCTCTGGGTAACCATGGTTACAGGTAGGGATGTCATCCTCTTTCCACCTTCCTCCGATTCCAACTTCCCTCAGAACTCTGCCTGATAACTCTGCACATTCTTTATACGCTATATAAATAATGGAATAACAATCAGAAGAAGGATAAGAAAGCCCTCTTATCTTCTGCACCGGCGATTATTTTCTAAAAGAAAAAAAAATTGGGGATTTGTGTGAATCCCATATGCGTTTCCCTTAAAGCTCTTAATGGGAGGAACATGAAGGAAGTTGATTCCAAAGTAGCACTTAAGACCTGTGGCCATGCTATGAATAAGTAATGAGGAGCTTTAATGCTTCCAAATTTTTCTTAGATTGAGACAGTGTAGATTTACATTTGGGATCAGATGGTTTGAAATCCTTTCGACTTTTATGAGGTGTCAAAAGGGTATATTCGAAATTGTTATTATCATGCTTAATTTGAAGGGCGAAATATTTTTACTTCATTTTGTTAAGCAGTGCTTCATGCACAACTTGTTGATACCAACATATCAACAAGTTATATGTGAATTTTATTATTATATTCTATTTATTTTTTGTTATCTTCAAATAATATTTTAAGTTTAGGACAGTTATCTACTTTACATGCTCCCAAGGTTCTATTTTAGTTTTTATCCTAGTTTAATTTTCTAAGTGAATAATGAGCAAAGGTTTTCTCAGTCGTGCTAATTGAAATGTGTTCTGTTAAAAACACCGAATCAAAATCCATTTTTATGTATAATAAATTTTTACTGGAGCATGTTACGGAAAAAAACATCTGATAAACCGTACTTTTTACAGTAATAATTGCAGCAAAATTACTGAATCATTTTAATAATATAAATGTCACTGTAAAAATTAGCATATAATATTTTACAGTAAAAAGGATTTCACTGATGATACACTCCAAGTGCCGGTACTTCATACCGGAATTTGATCCGGAAATTTTACAGTGTGAGCATAAAAAAACAAAAGTTTGTGGCCAATTTTTGAGACACAACTAAGGGGGAAAGGTGATTATTTAAAGTATTAATAAACTTTAAAGAAAATATGCTAGGTAGATATAAATCCGTAGTGGAATGAAACACGATTATTATTTCGTTTTGCTCATTGATAATAGTTGTGGAAAAAAATTAAAATATGAACATAGAAACTGAAAGTTAGGGACAAATGTATTTTTTCAAGTTTGAAGAAAAAGGTGACTATATACAGACAATATTCTGATGTATATTTTTTTATTTATGATGTAAATGAGATTAAGCTAAAGTCAGTAGGACTAATAATTTGGTAAAAAATTGTGAATAAAGTTATTACATAACGTTCTAGTATACTGTGAGAATTTTTATTCCAAAATTATGATAAAATAAACGGCAGCAGTCTGCTCAACCAATTAACTGTAAAGTTTTCGGTATGAAGAACATTTTTAACTTTACGGTTATGAAACCGTTTACAGCTTGTGTGATTAAAAAAAAAGCATGGGCATAGAACTATATGGTTTCGTAACCATTTACAACTAGCATAGTCTCAATACCGTCAAAAAGAAATTTAACTTAACATCTGAGATAGTTTAGCAGCTTTATGGTGCTGCCATCTACGCGTGAATGATGTGTAGGTAATAGACATTGGAGAGAGCAGAACACAAATTGGATTGCGCAAGACACTGAAAACTCTTCATGAGTTGAAGCGAATTGAGGAAATATTGTGGTGTCAACGCTGGGACTTGAACCCCTGTTCTGTCATTCATGAAACTTACAAATTAGCCCTCGCGGTTACAGTATGTACATAGCTGCAAGGAACTATGTGGCTTCATTAGGTTGACTTAGTTGGTGCGATAGTTCTGATTGTTTAACCGTATTAGGTGAAAGCAGTTAATAAATGGTTTTCTCACAGTTAACAGTTTGAATACAATCTTATTTATGGTATGCTGTGTTGTTTAAATATGGAAAAATAACAATTAAATAAATTGTTACTTAAAAATTTTTTTCGAGAAATTTCTTACAGTGCACTTTGGGTGTACCATCCATAAAATCCATATCACCGTAAAATCCATTTTTACGGTACCGTAATTTTTACAGCAATATTTATTTAATTAGAGTAATTCAGTGATTTTACGGCAATTATTACTGTAAAAAGTATGATATATTGTATTTTTTGTTCCGCAACATGTTCCGGTAAAAATAGATTGTGCGGTAAAAAGTACCGGTACTCATTTTACCGTAGTTTGGCTCCAAAATTTTTACTGTAAATAATGTTTTAAAATACTATAAGCTTACAAGACTCGGAAGGGAGAATATAAATACTCTGTGATGCACTACGTACACGTTACGCACCACATGAGTCCAAAGTTTTGGTGATTATATGTACATAGTTCTAGAAGGATGAAATTCAGCTATTGAGAGTTGAAGGATTAAATAAGCAGATGGATTTAGAATTAGTAACTCCTGATATGCTTTTAGAAACACAGTATTTGACAGTATAAAACAGTATTTGTAACTCGTCACTCCATGGTTTCTATGGTTGAGTCACCTTATTCATAGCAATACAATGTAGTTGGTTGGAGAATGCTGGTAATCGGTATGAATTACGCTCGAAATTAATGAAATAAATTAAATTAAATCATTGATAATGTTGCTAAACTCATATATATATATATATATTATTAGTAAAATTTGGAGCACCATTAGCGCCTCACTGTTACATATAATTTGTTTACATTGAGAAACTCGGAGTAAAGTACAAAGTTCATATTTTCTTGTGCACCAAATTCGAAGGAACACGTTTGAATTTTAAATCTTAATTAAGTAGACTAAACTGTCATCAATTAGAATCTACTGCTAATAAATACGAAATAATAAAGGTGGCTGAATGAAGAAACCGACACAATGATAGTAATTTCTTTTAAGATATCAACAGCTCTTATAATAGTTAACAGTTTATTTTCTTAAATATGCTATAATAGAACAAGTATCGACATGGCTCTTCTAAGCTTGTCTTCCCGTTCTATTAAGTTCCTTTTTCTCTAAATACAAATGAAAAAGTGCTTTGTTAATTATTAATCACAATTATCTAGGGATAGTATTTACCACTTAAATTTCCGAATAAACAATTATTGGAAGAAGGAAACACCCATCATTGTATACAAAAGAAGTTTTTTCACCCTTTCAAAGCATATTGCTTAAATCTCTAACTAATAAAACTTGTTCATGAAAATGCATTGTTGTTTTATGAACTGTTTATGAATAAATAAGAAAAAATAGTTCCAGGCTTTTAACTCTAATGTTTTATTTGCTTTTTATAATGCAATTGTGTTAGCTAGTTAAATAGTTAATTAGAAAAAAAATCATATAATTGTTTCGTGATATCAATACTTAATAATTAAATTTGAAAAGTCTTTTGTTATATGTTCACTTAAAGATTAAATTTAAAAAGAAATATTTCTCCTGTAGCGATCATTTTAAGCCTATATTGTGCACAGAGAAAAATGTTTTGTATAACTATCAAAATGTATGGTAATGACATTTCTAGTAAAAAAAATACATACATAATTCTGGTTAATAAAATTAACATGTACGTTATTTGAACCATTCATTTGGTAATGGTTTCGTAATTCTGACCATAATTCCTAAGCCATAATTCTGGTAATAATAACCAAAATATATGGTATTTAAAGCATTCATTTAATTTTTACGTTCATATTGTAACGGTTTACCGAAAATTTTGGTTTTTAAAATTCTAGTTCTTTTTAAAACACATTTACAAAAAAATGCAAAATTGAAAAGTAAATCTAACCAAATAAATGCTTTTTATGCCATGCTCTAAGCTACCATGGCAAAATTAACAAAGTTTACTTCATTTATCAAATTTCATCACATAATATAAAATCACACTTTATTGCTAATTTTACAAAAATCACTACCAAAGTGCTGCGAAAAAAATTACCAAGATTTTTGGTGTTCCCATAGAGCCAGAAGCACGGTAAATTTTACCATAATCTTGTAGTTTGACCATACATTTCTTCTCAGTAGGGCTAATTAGTTTCCTAAATGGCTGCAAACATTGGCTATTGTCCTGAAAGCATACGAACTCTAGTTTCATTATGGCTCTTTTAATGAAATTCAACTAGTCAAACTTAATTTTTGATATTTAGTTAAAGAATTGGTATGAAGGTGAACATTAAGGTAGTGATTACTTTAACATTGCGTCTTAATTAATTTAAATCGTGAAATTTCTGATAAAATTAATTTTCCTTGAAGTTTTTTTCATTAATCATGAAATTATGGCCAGGTTTTCAGGCATTTCACTTTTATGTTTTTACTTTTACGCAGTTCACGTGTTCAAAATCTCAACAGAATCGTTATTACTAGTAATTATTGATTCCAAATAAACATTTTGTTACAATTACATAATTTTCTTCCTTAAGATATAAAGTTTGTACACTATAAAATTAATGGTTTTGGTCTGTTGATGGTTAGATACATTTAGATAGAAACAAATCATTCTTTAAAAGCGTTGATTCAAACAACGATGAAACGTTCGAAAAACAGCATTAAAAGTAAAAATAATGTACTCCCAGAATAGATTTTTGCTTTAGTATCAGCTAATCATAGAAGTTATGGAGGTTAAGACTCACCATTTTCGAGACCAACGACATTATGCAAACAATGTTGTCAGTACAAGGCGAACAAAAATCTGAGTACTCTAATATTAGTACGGCATGGGTCAGCATTCTCAATCGGTTACCTTTATTTCGCAGATGAGCTGGTGGTACTCATAGATCTGAAACTGAGTGTCCTTCAAGTCGTAGGTGATAGAACTTTCGTATTTCATGATGAGAGTTAAGTGGCTTTACCGCGGAACTTAATTAGACACGAAATAATAAATAAATTGAAGTGAGAGCTTTTGTTCAAGACCTAATATATAAATAGGGTTCATCGACAATTATGGAATACTATATTATTGAGTTTTTCCCCTGTGCTGAGAGCAATTAAGTATTGTCAAAAATACCAAAAT